GAAAAGAATAACATTTAAATGTTTTTCAAACTTTAAGAGAAAAGGAACAAAATTCAAAAACTACTACTAGTTAGTTTTAGAAATAAACCTAGTTTTATTTAAAACATACCTATATACTTTAAAATTTAATTTTATCAAATAAAAATATATATCAAGTTATTCTTTTGACCGTATAGGATATTACTAAAAAATGTACTTATTAAAATTGTTGGAAGAAAATAACTACTTTGAAAAATTAAGAATTTATAAAATGCTTTAATAAATTTCAAAATATACTGATCTTTGAATTTTTCAAAAATCAAATATATTTTACTTTTTAGTGCAAATGAAATAAAATAAAATGAAATGAAATAGTTCTACAAGTCATTTATATATACCAAATACATAGTACATCTTCCGATATACAGATCACTCCGATCGAAAATTTTCTTCTTCCTATTCAGTTAGGAAACGCTAAACTTATATATAGCAAACATACGTTTTTACATTATTTAGATTTGGAAGAAGTAGTTAAACAAGTTAATAATTTAGTTAATCATTTTGAAACAATAAAACATAGTATAGTTCATATTAATGCTAGTAATCCCATATCTTATCATAGCTTATCACAAAATATGTTAACCAGAACAGAATATTTAATAATTACTGTACAGAAAAAGATTAATAATTTAATTCCTCATGTAAGACATAAAAGAGCTCTAATAAATGCAATTGGAAAAATTAACAAATGGCTATTTGGAAATCTTGATTCTGATGATGAAGAAAGATATAATAATGCTATAAAAACATTGCAAGAAAATCAAAAAATATAATGAGTGAAACAAATCTTCAAATTTCGTTGTACAAAAGACTTGTTGATCATTATAATAAATCAATCACAATATTAAGCAAAAATCAAGAAAAATTTAAAGTAGATATGGAAAAAATTCAAGCAGCTATTTATAACAGAATTAATACACTTGAAAGTTATATTAGTTTTCAGGCCATTATATCACAAATTGATTTAGATTGTCAAATGGCAATTTCTTTTATAGATAATTTAGAAAATGCTATAACCTTTGCAAAATTAAATACTTTACATAATTCTATAGTTTCCAGCTCAGACATTAAAGACATGATAAAATATTTACATAAAATATATAATGTTGATCAAATTCCGAAATTTACAAATTTATTAACGTATTATCAGTTCTTAGGAACGCAAGTATCAATTTCAGAATCCAAGTTAATTTTTGCAATACATTTTCCTATTTTTGAAAGTAATACCTTTGAATTTTATCATTTATTCCCAATTATCCAAAACCAAAAAATGTATACACCTTTATTTCCCTATTTGGCACGAAAACATCAAGAAACACAGTTTGAACGAGAAGAATGTCCATCCCTTGAAGAAATTTATTATTGTCAACAAAATTTCATCCCAAGAGATAATTGTACTCTCCAACTTCTTGAAGGAAGAACTTTGACAAATTGTCATATTTTAAATGTTAATTTAGAAGAATCAGTATTTGAACAAATCGCAGTAGATGAAGTCCTAATAATCCCGTCAAAACCGGAACAAATTCTTGCAAAATGTAACAGTAACCAGTATATAGACATAAGATCACCCGTACTAATCAAGATACCAAAATCTTGTGAAATTTGGACAAAGGAAAGAAGATACATCAATAATATTCAACTGAGCAGAGGAAAGCCATTCATTTTACCGAAGATCGACATGAAGAAAATCCAAACTTCAAAGTCTTACCAAACTTCCAATATAACTAAATTAGATTTTAATGATTTATATGAAATTTATCAAATTTCTAAACAATTAAAGCCAATTAAAGAAATTCAAATTAATTTTAATTATTCAAGCACTTTTGGAACAATTTTTATAATTTTTATTTGCATAATTATTTTAATATTAATTAAATACAGAAGACAACTTTTAAGAAGATTTAGAAGAAAGAAGAAAGAAAACGAAGAAATTGAATTAGAAAATCCTACAGAAGATGTTTTGAAAAATAGCTCCATATTTTTCAAAACTTAAGGAGGGAGGAGTTATATATTGAGAATATAATAGACTCTTTTATATATTATCTTTGATTAATAATCAGTTTTACTTTATAAATAGGAGTAGAACCTTATTATTGTTGTTATTTTGAACTAGTTAGTTATTTGAGTTAGTTATTCGAAGTAGCTTTAGTTTAGATATCCATTTAAGTGTATTTTATACTTAATAAAATTTTTAAAAATAAAAGTTCCATTTTGGAATTTATAACTTGGGGAATTTATTATATACTTCTTTGTTTCCTGCTTAAACAGGTTTTTGTCTATAATACTTTTTAGGTTTGGTGGAAGAACATTAAAAAATTTCGGACCGAAACAAAAATAGGATCGTTTTTAAAGAGAGGGACATAGAGTTCCATATTAGTAGCGGCTCGTGTTTTACGTGTATTTTTAAATTGATATTTTTCAGTAGAGTTATTTATTCTTATTAAACAATGAAGAGTAAAAAGAAATCTTATGTTCATTATTTTTGTTTCATTGTACAAGTCATCGGTGGAAAACAATTTATTTTTTTTAAATATAATTTTTAATAGTGTATTTTGAATTGTTTGTAATGTTTGTAGGGTGGTATTAAAGGTGCCTCCCCATACAGTAATACAATATCTTAGAATCGATTCGGCTAGAAAATTATAAAGAATTATCAAATTTTTTCTAGATAAGATTAATAATAACAATAATAATAATAATAATAATAATAATAATAATAATTTATTCATTAAAATAGTACATATAAACACATTTGATACAGAAAAAAAGAGAAATGAATAAATTGGCTCACGTTAAGTGACTTAACACTTGTTACGAAATTTTGAGTAGATATACTGTAATACATGCCATACATAATATACATATAAAAATACTAATACTAATAATACTAATACTAATAATACTGATAATAATAAATACTAAAAAAATAATAATAAGGAAAGAGAAATGAATCATACCATCGAATTGTCTGATATAAATATTACTTGATACATTATAATACGAAAACATACATAAATAGTGAGTACTTTTTAGGTTTTATTTTCTATTAGATCTGAAATATATTTCCTTGGGGTGTTGAAAGTAAATATTTTTAAATATTTCTTGAACAAATGGAAAGTAACCTTGGATTGCACTTCCTCTGGTAAGTGATTATACATCTTAGGCCCTAGATATGAAAAAGACCTTTGAGTTAAAGATCTTTCCACCAAGGGTACAACATGGTTTGATCTATTCCGGGTTAGGTAAGTATGAGATGGTATTGTAGCTGTGAGTCTAGTTGGGTAATATTTTAGATTGGTGGAAACAAAGTACATTTGTCTTATATCTAATATTTTGCTTTCTTCGTAAAGTATATCGGATGAGTAGGTATCTAAAATTTTTGTTCATTATTAATTTCAAAAATCTAGATGGTCTCTTAGAATATAAAATTGATGTATTATAGCTCTTAAACGCTTACTAATATGTATTATATAATCTGACCAACGAAGATGTTGATTTATAATCACCCCTAGATACTTCGTAGTAGAAACTTTTTCAATATTTGTACAACTACAGTTATTATTTATGCAATCTAGTTCATGTAGTTTTATAGTAATCTCTTGTGGCTGATTTGTGACTAAAGCAGTAAAAGCAACATATTTTGTTTTATCTACGTTGAGCGTTTATTGTAATTTAACCATAGTCGCAACTTGTGCAAGTCAGACTCAGTAGAAGTTTTGATTTCATTCCAATCAGTACCAGGTACTAGTAAGACTGTATCATCGGCATAACAAATTAAATGTCCAATGAAGTTATTTAATTGAGTGATAGTATTTATGTATAATAAGAAAAGTATTGGACCTAGAACTGTTCCTTGAGGAACACCGATTTTTACTTCTGTGGTAGAACTTATTTCACTTCCAATCTTTACTCTTTGTGTTCTATTTGTTAAATAATTGGATAGTAAGTTAAAGGCAGTACCTCGAACACCATAATTACTTAATTTGGTTAGTAAAATTTTATGAGAGTCCGTATCAAAAGCTTTGGCGAGGTCAAGGAAAACTGCTATGCATTTCAATGATTCGTCCAATGCCTTTACTGTTTTTTCTAGGAAATCTATTACTGCATTTTCAGTGTTTGAATTTTGTACAAAACCGTATTGTCTATCTGTTATAATGTTTGTGTTTATAAAAGAAGTTCATAAGTCGTTTTTTTAATCCCCTCTATTAATCACGGATATGGGTCTATAGTTATTTAGTTTTCCTGGATCATTTGATTTGTAAATTGGAGTGATTATAGATTCTTTCCATTCTCTTGGAATTTTTCCACTTGAGTAGGTAGTGGCATAATTTTAAATTTAATAAAATGTTGTTGGCAATGTTCTCTGAATTCAATGTTAGCCATAATTCTGATAGCTTCTTTTTGCATCCGGAAGATTTGAATAGATTGAGAAGATTTTCCCCAAAGTGGTACACCATAGCTGACATGCGAGTGAAAGAGAGAGAAATACGTAGTTTTGAGGATATTTAAGTTGGTAAGTTTTTTTAACTGCCGAAGAATAAACAAAGAACGAGAAAGTTTTTTCTTTAACTGATTAATGTGGGCCGACCAATTGAGTTTGTTATCCAATGTAATACCAAGTAATTTTACGTTTTCTGTTTCACATTTTGAGATAATTTCATTATTGGCAGATATCTGCATATTTTGAGTTTTTTTAATGTTAAGTTTTAATTTGTTGGTTGAGAACCATGTGTTTGCTTTGTCCGCAATTTCATCAAATGAAGAAATTAAATTTTTATTATTTTTGTCTATATAATAGAGTACGAAATACGGATGATATAAATTAGATCAGACGCAAACGAAGTTAGGTATACCTTATTGAACCTATAGGTCGGGTCGCTCCAAATAATTTAAATTTCTGGGAATAAAAAATCCCCAAGATATCAAGATTAGTATAATAGTAGCTGGATTTTTATTTTTAGGGAATCTGCTAGCCTGGGATCTGGTTCTGTGGTTGTAGTTGGTAGTCTAGTAGTAGATTGGTATTTGGTGTTGGTAAATAAATAAAATGGATATTAGCCCGCGTAAAACCAAACGTCTATCAGGAGCTGAATACAAAAAGAAAAAAGCAAAGAGAGAGAGAAGAAGAAATAAAAACTCTGCCTATAGAAAGTGATGCCTCTACAAATAATATAGAAGATGTTTCTCGCGGTAATTTTAGTACAAATATTCCTTCATGTTCTGGTCACAAAACATTGTTTAACTCTTAGTAGGATCTTATTTGCTATAATTTTTAGAATTTCAGTCAACACAAAATCAAGAGATTAGCTTTACACCATTAGACTGTCCTAAATCCAGTGATTTGAGTAGTAGAGACGTGGACGATGATGATATGATTTTGGTAAAGGAAAATTTAATTTAACTCATCGCGGTATATAGTTTTATACTTACTATTCTTTAGAAATCCACATGGATGGTCCTATAAATACCTTGAGTGATGATCCTGCATTATACAAATTTCCGATATCGACTAAAGATAAAAATTACCTTGTGAAAAGGGGCCCGTTTCAACTAAAAGAAGAAAACTATACGTTTCCCGTTGATGATAATGGCAGGAGATTTACATCGCGTGATTATTTCAGGAAATCAGCCAATGGGGAAGTTATTTGTAGAGAATGGCTCATTTATTCAAAATCCTTAAATTCGGTTTTTTGTTTCCCTTGTAAATTAGTTTCTTCATCAAACAGAAATAGCATTTCTCTCACTGATACATATGGCTTTTCTGACTGAAAGCACCTTTTCAGAATACTGAGTTTCCACGAAGTTAGTAATTTGCATATTACAAATTCCACTAGTTGTAAATTACTGTAGAAGTAATATTTGATAGAAGAAATATTTGATTTGGTTAAAGAGTATTGGAAAAATGTATTGAAAAGAATAATATCAATAATACTTCATCTAGCAGGACAAAATATGGCTTTTCGCGAATCATCTGAAAAATTGTATACCCATAACAAAGGTAATTTTTTAAAAACTATTGAATTGCTTGCATTGTACGACCCTGTTATGAAAAAACATATTAATAAAATTAAAACATCATATGACAGGGACAAAAATACTATTTATGACCTTAAATTCAAAAGAGTTAATCCAGATTATTTCTAATGAAATTAAAAAGACAATCTCTAATATATTAGAATAAAAATATTTTTCTGTAATATTGGAGTGTACACCAAAAACAAAATTGAACAAATTACTATAATATTAAGGTATGTAAGTTGAAGAGAGCTTTGTAGAATTTTGTCCAGTAATTGATACTACTGGACAAGGGTTAACGAAAGTAATTGTATCAAAAATTAGAAAAAAAATTACGGGGACAAGGATATGATAATGGTGCAAACATGCGGGGCAAAAACGTTGGAGTACAAAAGAGAATTCTTGATTTTAATAATAGAGCAATTTTGCATAAAAGTTCAGGGTTGATATATTTTTTGTTTTGTTGGATACAATAATTCAATTTTTAGAAGAAAGGTTTGAACCAGGTCCATTCAGATTATTTTTCTTTTCTTTACAACATTTCTTTGCTTTCCACTTTTAATAAAAATGAGTTACTCAAAAAATGCATGGATTTACATACATACATACATACTTATCCGATGCTGATAGCTTAAATAGTGACATAAATGGTTTGGAGCTTAAAGATGAGCTGCTCTCATTTATGACTTTGATTAGATCAAACGAACATCAAACTAATAATCCTTTAAATACTCTTAAGTATATAACAGAAAATAATTTAGGAAACACTAATTTAGTAATATCTCTTAGAATGTTGCTTACTTTACCCATCTCAGTTGTTTCTGGGAACGAAGGTTCTCGAAATTAAAATAATCGATAATTATTTAATCTCCATCGAATATGAAATTGCCACTAATTTAAATTATGATACAATCATAAATCTGTTTTTTGAAACTTACTTCGTGCGTAATGGGTTACTTACAACTCTTGTTACGTAGTACACTATTATTTTTTGTTCTCTAGCAGCCCTGGCCGTTGACAATTGTAAAAACCGCATGTCTCTTTGTCTTTGCTAAGCCTTTCTCAAACTCTTTGAAGTAAAAAACTACAAACTGTATGCTCGATTATGTAGCACTATACTTCGATCCTTAAAGCTCTAGACTTGCTTCTGGAGGATAAGGTATCAACCTCAACTTCATCAGCAAGAAATACTGTTTTGGGACCCAAGAAGTACTTGGGAAATTTTAAATTCCTCTTGATATTGATCTTGTCTTCTATTGATAACAAAAAATGCCATTAAACAGAACAGAAGATTTTTTCTCAACGTAGAGACACAACTAATTAAAGACTTACTAAATGAGAATAAGATGCAGGTCCTACGAAATTCATAGGCAACCATTTTGAATAAAGTAAAAGTAGTTGCCGAGTCAGTTGGCATTTCACCAGAGTTTGTTATCAAAAGGAAAGCCAGTGCAGATGAAAGTAGATCTGAACAACTTCAGCTAGAAGCATCAAATGAATTCAAATCTCCTGTTGTGCTTCCTATTTTAGATTTTGTCATGGCATATTTGAGAACAAGAATTATGAACTGTGAACAAATTTGTAATCTGTTTTCACCAGTTTTGGCTTTTAGGGACCTAGAAAATGATGAACAGAAAGTTAAAACCACCAATCTTGTCTCAAAGTAGCCTCAGATTTTAACAGCTTGATTGAAGAAATTATACGCATGAAGAGCGTATACAGTCTACTCCAGGAATTCTCAAAGTCGTTGATACTGACCCCTTGTACCCCATGTACATTATGAAAATAAAATTGTAAATAGTTTTTATTTGGTTTGCTCTTTATCTATTCATCAAGTCACTGTCGAGGGTTAGAGCAACAATTCACCGTAGGTTTCACCTTTTCCCCTTTAAATTAAAATAAAAGTGTGGCGCCTTTATCGTTTTTGCTGTTGTTGTTGCCAAAGGTGGCCCATAATTTGACGTTAAGCACCATCTGCTCTAAACCTCGCCAGTACCCAGCCACATACCCACGGCTTGAGTATTTTTACAAAAGTATAAATTATAGTTATATCAAAAAAATACCATTCTTGGTCCAAAGAATGTGATTTATATTTTCAACCCGCCGAGTCTAATTTTTAAACAATATTATTAGGAAAATAAAACCACTAAATTCATTTTTTTTTTAATAAACTAAACATTGACAGGTACAAAAAGTATAATATATCATACAAAATAATATTCATTGGAGTAAAAACATTTATACCACTCTCTTAAAAAATTACTCCATAATATATTTTTAAAATGTCATAAAATAATCTCATTACATAAATTGATCACATTACTAAGTAGAAGAAAAAATATTTGGACCATCTATTTTATAACTTAATTAAAGTTGGAACTATTAAATAATAATTGACAGTTGGATATTTTTTAGAGCCTATTCCAAAATCTTCCACATTATAGCAGCTTCGGATTTGATAATATCAAAGTTTTTTTTTTTTACTTTTGATGAAAAATAAATTAAATTAATGATAAATTTAAACGATGCAATCACATGTGTACCATCTGGGTAAAAAGTAATGCTTCCAAGAGCTCATATCTGATGCCGGTTGATTCACTCTAGCATAATATTCCAAAGTACACAAACTATTAATAATACCGCTGCCAAACGTTATTAAGTACCAAAATATTAAATTACTAAATCTAAACTTGGGAATCTTGATAAAACTCACAATTACAGCTGTCAAAAAACTGTAAGACAAAGCTGGATAGAAAAATCCAAATATATAAGTCATTACCCATTCATGGACAACGACTGAGATTAAAAAGACAGTTAATTTTCCTGCTATTTTACTATTAGTCAATTGATAAACATCCCAATATACATGAGCGTATAACCAGTCTTGTACTACGATATTCCAAGTTCTAAAATATTCTGCTAACGATAGACTCGTCCACCAGTCTTTATAAAACTGTCTGTCTCCAAATCGCAGTAATTCAGCGAACAAATTTTGCACAGAATGCAAAGTAACGTAAAATCCTGCTAATAAGATCAACACTCCGGGTACTGAATTTTCTGCCAATGCCGGGGCTAGAACTTCAACCCATGTGTATTTTCGAATTCCGAAATCTTTGTATGACGGAAAGATGAAGCGATGGTAAATGAAGCATTGGTATACTATAACTCCGATTACTTCACCCATACGGGCTAATACAAAGTCCCACCTGATTGCTTTGGTCCTAAAAGAATAAAATATTAAATTATACAAGATGATACGTTAATAAATAAGGTCTTTGATTAACAATCGAAAAAATAGGATACATGCCAAGAAGCAGTGGCGGGAGAGGAATGAAACATTTTTTGAAAAATTAAGACCATCACATTTATGTTGAAGAAGAAAGCACAAAATGCACCTAGTTATCGATATTATCAACTAATTTACAATAGTAGAGTGATTGACGAGCTAAGAACACATGGAATCTACTATTTAAAATTAGAAGGACTGATGGATTAAACATTTGAATTTTACGTTTTAAATTCTTTGATGGTGTCTAAGTGTTTTTCAAACTCGTTGAAATTTATAGGATTGAAAATATTCAAACAAATAAATATAAGGACCAGCTAAAACTGAAGAAATGAACAAAAAATCGGGCAAAGTGGAACAAAAAGACAATCCGATGTCAAAAAACGGTAAACTTATATAAGTAATAAAAATGGAAGTATAAGACTAATGAGGTTAAAAATCAGATACTATTGGATAGATCAAGTACCTCAACCATTGGCAGAAAAAAGCAACATGTAGTAAGATTGGAAGCTTTTGATTGCATTAGGAATTGAAGGCGTTATAGCCCCCAGTACTAAAGAATTGACTACATTCCACAAAACATAATGTCCAAAGTCAGTATGATCAAGAAATAAATCGACTAGCATAAAGTTTGGTAGTTTTGGTATGGTAAATTTATTTGAATATAGTTTGAAAGAGCCCAAAAATCCACTTTCAGCATAAACATGTTATATATTAAGGGCCTCAAAGGTATTATTTTGCATAAAGTTGCCAAATAGAAGAAATAGGACAGAGAAAATAATAACCAACATTAATTTTTTATAAAAAAAAACTCTGGAACTTAAGCTTAAAGTAAGTAAGTAATTTATTTTGTATTTTTTCAAGTTAAGCTTATATTGCTTATATTCTTACCTTGGATATTCATCTCTATAAAGTAAAACTGGCGCAAACAAAAAGTAGACATACTGGTTAAATTTGGCCCATGTTAATTCTTGCTCAGTGTGTGGTTTGTATTTTACAATTCTTTCTGCGTTGTACCTTACAAATGCGTGAATTTTCATTACCAGTCTAATCTGAGAAGAAAACAAAACACACTATATAATATGTAAGAAAATAAACTTCAGATTGTCAAAAAAATGAGCAAACGAAATGTTATTTTGTTTCAGAATAATATTATATTCAAAACTGGCTCAAAAACAAGCTTTTGCGGATCTGAATGCTGTATGAATTGTTTTATAAATTTTAACAAGTTACATATAATATAATAATTATATATAATCATTTTTTTCTAATTTTGATATATAAAATAACATTTCTTTGTAATCGCAGTTCGCAGCAAGTCTCAAAATGATCTTCTTTAGCAACCAGTTGCATAATGTTGAACATTATCAAAGTGATTTCAAAATAGTTATGAAACCAGTTATGAAATTCCTTATTTTATACTAAATTATTATACGCAGCAGGGCTACGAAAATGTCCGCCTTCGCCCCTTTCTAGTACCACTTAGGCAATACAAGATACGTTGGTGTATGTTCAGTTACATATTAATAATACTAGCAGAGAGTTTTTTATTTATTATATCGCTACAGAAAAGTTCTTAAGACACTCATACTATTTGTAAATTCGAGAATATTCATTTATGCTTTTATCAACAATTTCTGTTTTAAAAGACACCGTTTTTTGAATGTAATATGATATATTCTTAATTTCATCTTTTTGTATTTTAATATTCTTATATAGGGCGTATCTAATACTTTATGCATTAGTAAACGGACCAATGGTAACCGTGGATATAGTGGAATAAAATCTCTCCTGAAATTCGCTTTTTTCTAAGGGTGGGTGATTCGGATGTATAATCAAATAAAATTTGTACCATCTTGTAGAGGACACTCTGGGGTATGGGAAATGGGAATGTACAACTTTTTTTAGTAGGACCGAACTTTGAAAATAACCCTTAAACGTGGTTGAGCTCAAATTACAAAAACTACATTTTTTTAACATTAACAGTCGTATTAATTCCAGTATGCAATCTAAAATTCTGATTTTTTGCAGACTTATACTTGAAATATGAGCGCTTCTAATGGCAATCCAGGAATTTAAAAAATATTTGAAGTTTTTATTTTTTTAATGAAAGAAAATAAAATTATCAAAATTGTGCGGCGAGCTATGTGAATTATTGAAAATTGTTATACATATATATCGAGTTAAATGCAGTCAGAATATTAAAAAAGTTTTTAAAGAAGAAATTAAGTCGCTAACTTTAACGGCTATAGAAATATGGATTTTTTATAGCAGCCTTGGAATGCGCGCTGATGCTAAGAGCGGGTACCAGTCTGAAAATGATCTGCGTTAGCTTTGGTTACATCTAGAAATACATTTAAAAAATATATTAATATAGAGTAAATAAAGCATTGTGTATGAAACTTACTTTAAATGTTTTCCTCTTCGTCATCATCGTATAATTATAAATCAGGAACATTATTCTGACAATTTTTACAAAAACAATCGCTGTAGCATTTTAAGCCCTCTTTCAAACATACACATTTATTATCGTGACATAACTGACGAATGGTCTTAGTATCCGTAGCCAAGGGAAACCTTAATCTAATTTATAATTTCCAGAAACTTCATATGTATACGCATCTGTGAAATCATAGAAATCATAGAAAAGTGGTGAAGTTCAAGAAATTTTTGAGATTGTCAGAAAATAAATGATTCCTATTAAAATTTGAGATCGCTTACCTTCTGGAACATTCAGCTGATCACTTACAAATAGACGAAACTCTGATCATTGCTGGTGGTTTTGAAAATCCAGAGTTATGCTTTTTTGTCAACAAGGATGGTGTAATCGAATTGAACGATTGAAATCGAATTATGATGAGGCTGATACGCGAATTGTACTCCATGTTTTATATGAATATCAGATACTTGACAAAAAAAGGTTAGGTGAAGTCTGTAGATACTGACGTTCTTATATTATTTATTACTATTCTAAATTTATTAAAGCAAGCTCTTTGGAAAAAAAATACCATTTTATGGAATTAGGACAAGGAAATAAAAAACGGATTATTTCGATATCTGAAATAGTGCAGAAACTGGGAAGTGGGGTTTGTGAGTGTTTGCCGGCGTTGCATGTGTTAACAGGATTCGATACCACGAATGCAATGTTTAAGATCGGGAAAAAAACGCATATGATGTATTTTATAAAAACCTGGGAACTTTTAAAGAACTGTCAAAACTGCACTCCGTACTGACAACTGAAGCTGTTAATATTGCCACCAAACTTTCATTGGTCCTATTCAAAAATAAGAACAGAGACATTCAAACACTCAATGTACTGAGGTACCACTTGATCACAACTTCCAATAAGTCCGCTTCAAAACTTCCCCCAACAGATGACGCATTTCACAGGGTATGTACTGAGAAGGTCTACTAATATTACAAAAAAACTCTATTTATGCGATAACTGCGTATATGGATATCCAGTCATATGCCTATTATGCCTTTAGTTGACCCTGTTAACTTTGGTTGGACAAGGAATAATCGAAATCTAGAGCCGGTTTTGATTACTGCAGATCCCATACCAGCGGATATAAGGCAACTAATGAACATCTTCTGCAAAGATAAATTATGTCACGATGTGTGTGTGATTATATTTAGGTTTCCCTTGGCTACGGATACTAAGACCATTCGCCAGTTATGTCACGATAATAAATGTGTATGCTTAAAAGAGGGCTTAAAATGCTGCAGCGATTGTTCCTACAAAAATTGTCAGAACAATGTTCCTGATTTATATTTATACGATGATGACGAATCGGAAAACATTTAAAGTAAGTTGCATACACAATGCTTTACTTATTCTGTATTTATAGATTTTTAAAATTTATTTCTAGATGCAACCAAAGCTAACGCAGATCATTTTCAGACTGGTAGCCGCTCTTAGCATCAGCGCGCATTCTAAAGCTCCTAGAAAAAAATACATATTTCTATAGCCGTTAAAATTAGCGACTTAATTTCTTTTTTTAAGAACTTTTCTAATGTTCTGACTGCATTTAACTCAATATATATGTATACAAATTTTCAATAATTCACATAGTTCGCCGCAGGGTGAAGTTTTGGATGCACAATTTTGATAATTTGATTTTCTTACATTAAAAATTTTTTTTTTATATTTTTAAAATTCCTGAATTGCCATTAGTAGCGCTTACATTTCAAGTATAAGACTGCAAAAAATCAGAGAATTTTAGATTGTATATTGGAATTAATACAACAGTTAATGTTAAGAGAAATGTAGTTTTTCCAATTCGAACTCAGTCACGTTTAAGAGCCATTTACAAAGTTCGATCCTGTTAAAAAAAGTTGTACATTTCCATTTCCATTTAGTTATACCTCGGAATCACTAAAAGTCATAATTTCATTGCGAATTTACTCCACTAATAAGGAACACCAAGATCGTTCTAAAAAACCTATGGTTAATGGGTCTCACGTCATTAATAACAGAGATACAGGGTGTTTTATGAAGTTTGCTCATTTCTTTCGAAGATCATAACTAATAACGAACCACCCAGTATACTTTTTATGAAAATTGGTTTATTTCTTTTCCTTTCACTGCCCAAACGAGTGACGTAATAGCCAGAAGAAAATTCAGGTCCGTATTAACAGAGAACCCATAAATCTTTTGCCTTCAAACAACACCCTGCATAACAAATTTTTTAAAATCCGTTCTGATATTTTAAAAGAGCACAAAACATTGAATTAAAGAATGTACTTTCTGCATTTCAAAAAGTTCATTTTTATTATTGAATTAAGAAAATAATTTGATGCGATTTATTGAAACTTGTAAAATATGTACCTGTGTATTTTAATAAACTCGTTAAAAATGTGAATGCAGGTTCGGTAAAAAGGTACAAAAATTGCTCGAAATGATCCCTGTTTTGTTCAATGCATTTTAGTGCTCGTTTTGTAATGCTTCTTATTGCCTTTCTAATGATGTCTCGATTATTTCTTAATTCTTCGCAAGCGTTTTCAATCCTTTATAAAAGTTTGTCCCTACTATTTATTTCTGTAGAATACACTTTAAACTTTAGGTATCCCCAAATAGAATATTCTAAAATCTAAAGGATTAAAATCGGGTGTCCTCGCCGGCCAATTGTGAGGACCACGCCCCTTCCAATCCACACTTCTGGGAAATTCTATGGGGTGAAGCTCCATCGTGTTGGAAATACATTCCTCCAACATCTAAGTCTTTGAGTAAGACTGTCAAAAAGTTTTGAAGTAAATCTAAATACCTATGCTTCATCAATAAGTCTATGGGGTAAAACCCATGGTCCAATTAAACGATCATTTTATTTGTGAACGGCACTGCCTCGTAGCATACGATTTACTTCCTTTAATTATTGTAAACTGCGCTTCATCGGTAAACAAACAATATATTTAGAATCCTTTGATTTTGGATTATCCACCTATTAAAATTTAATTGGGCAATGTTATCGTTGTCCTCTAATGGGTCCTATGATTGAACGTTTACGTTATCCATAACGTACATGTTAGGCCGAGTTTTAACAGTAACGAGGCAAAATCGTATGATGGAAAACTTTTTCCAACACATTACTGGTATTTTCCGCCTGTTATGTTCTAATTTAATAGTTTTTCATCACACGAACTTGCCTCGTTACTGTTAAAACTTGACCTAACATGTATGTTACGGATAACATAAACGTTCAATCATAGAACCCAATGGGTCCTATGATTGAACGTTTTGAGGAAGATTATATCTCTTAGAGAAAAATCTACCTGAAATTCAACATATAATACAAGGTGATTTGATCCCAGGGTATCTGGAAAGACAGACCAGTTGATTTTTTTTGGGATGTCTGTGGAACAAAGAGTTATATCAATACTAGAGTTTTCGGAATTAGGTACTGTTAAGCAGGTAGGTTCATCATTATTCAATATCAAAATGTCGGAATCTTGGATAGCATTAATAAGTTTTAATCCAAAAGCATAATTTTTTATGGAACCCCAAGCAGCATGATGCGCATTAAAGTCCCCTCCAATAATAAAAGGAGTATCAACTTGATCAAAAATATTATTCCAGTCCGTAACGAAGGGTTTAATTTAAGACGGTCTGTAAATGGATAAAAAAACTTAGTGCAGTATCTGACAATTAATTGTTGCTTTTTAATGTGCTGGTGCGAATTAAACTACGATAAGTAATACTTAATAATAAGTTTCACTTTACTAAGAGGAAATTTATTCTGAAGCGGTGCGAATGGTCCATTAATCAATTATCATTTATCAGGTAGTTGGTTAGATCAAAATATTTTGGGGTGAATATTTTGTCCTAAAACCGAACCTGTACTAACAATTTTAAATAGTTTTTTAGATACACAGGTACTATCAGATATATTTTACAAGCTTCAATAGATTACAATAAATTATTTTCTTAATTCGATAACAAAAAATTAACTTTTTGAAATGTTAATAACCGGTCTTAATAAAAAATGTAAATTCGAGATTAAAATGTCACACGTAGAATAGGATGTGAAAATACAAAACAGCATTATTTAATTCAATTTTGAAAATTTTGATATACAGGGTGTTGTTTGAAGGACACATAATTTATAAGTTTTTTGTTAATACGGACCTGGATTTCTCTTATGGCTATTACGTCAGTCGTTTGGGCAGTGAAGTGGAAACAAAACAATATGCTGGGTTGAGATAATTGAGATAGTATAAAGAGGAGATGCTATGACGATATTAAAAGTGTCCGCACCTTTGCATTACCCGTTGACATTATATGTCAAACTCGACCTAGTGGAGCTAGTCAGTTTGGGTGAGAATAAATTCTTTTTTTTTTTAATAGTTAATTTAAATGATATAAAAACATTGTCATCTCGTCAATATTTAAATATACAATTATTGACTTCAAATAAATCAAAGTTCGACTCTAAGTCGCCATTTTGATTACACTTTTTCGTCAGACAAAATAGTGTTTATGTTATCTGTACTTCATTCTATCACGATGGTATGAGCAAACCCTGTACATCGGTTATTATTGACGACCCATTAACCATAGGTGTTTTAGAACCATCTTGGCGTCCCTTATCCACGGTTACCGTTTGTTCGTTTACCAATGAAACACCATGTATGTCTTAAGTGCTTTTCAAAAGTAGCCGCCTTGTAGAATAGGTGATGTTTACCTGTTCAAAAAGTATGATAGCAGATGATGCTTCTGGAAGTTTGAAATATTCCACCAACGTTGAGGTGGTTCTAAAACATAAGATATAAAAGACTAGTAAAGCTGCTGACCACGATCTATCCCAAATTTTGATGAATTTTCCTGAAAAAAAAAAAAATTAAACCATTTTTAAAATAAACTAATACTAATAAACTAATGTAAAAAAATAAATAGTTTTTATTTTTATTTTGGATTGTCTGTACCTATAGTGTTTATATCATAGATATAGGATGTTTAGATAAATTAATTATTGTCTTATAAAATGGTCATAACGGTAGGCAGAGTTAGATGACCTGTATAAGGCAATTTTAAAAGCCATTTTATTAATAATAATTTTTAAAATGTAGTTTTCAATGCTTTCCAATTTATAAATAATATTTTTGGGTTCCAGAATAGTATATTATGCAACGATCATGTAATGATGGTTATTAATACACGAGCATTATGCATGGTTTATGCGAGTGTTTTAATAACCATTACATGAGAGTTGCATACGCTATTTTTTCTACACCCGATAAATAATCAAGACCTATAAATATTCTATTTATATTGGCATTAAACACAATAACAGTAATTACTCGTATTTCTATAAAAAATTCTACAAAATTGTAATTAATGGTATTAACTTGGGTATTGGTATTACCACAGATTTTTGGGGCAAAATATTTTGTACTGCATTTTCTCCTTTCTCCGATATGTGTGGAGGAGTCTTCTATATCGCTGATATCAGACATTTTAATATTATAATTATCGAAGTTTAGCTATCTACGAAAATTTAATACGTTTTGACAACTAAAACAATTACATAGGAATTTAGGACAAACGTCAAACATCATGCTTGATTGAAAAATTGTAGGTTTCTATTGATTAAAAATCTGTATCATAATGAAAAATCTGTATCATAATGGGTATCATTATGAAACGGATTATGGGCATATAAGTGCATTATTATAATACGGGTGTAGAAAAAGATAATTTTAAACAGCTTAATCGAAAAGTAGGATGTCAATAGACTACATTAGTTATTAGGTACGTCCGATGTAGTAATAAAATTTAATCTACTATGAAAACTCAAATTAGTCTAATAAATTTAATCTAATGAAACTGTATAGATTAGGTCGGAAATAAGTTTGATAAAATATAGCACCACATTTTATTGAATTCTGAAGTTATACACAATATTTAGGATTTTATATGTAAATACTAGGACATAGGTATTCTAAGAACATTAAAATATACCTACACCGTTATATCTAATCATTTTTATATACCGGAGTCAATTTGTGTTATAGATTTGCAAACAATTCCACAAACATTTTTTTTGTGGTAAAAGTTACCGGCCTTTAAACGTATGTACGTTATTTGAAGAAATGGCTATTCATTGGAGGTCTGACATTGTTAAGTCGTATTTTTATTACGATAGGCGACAGAAGATCGTCGTCACTTTACCAGCAATAAGTAAAAGGTCTGCAAATGGCCAGCAGTTTCCCATAATATTAATGTTAACTTTCCTTTTATGGGCTTGCATAAGCTTCATAATTTTCCCAGTATAAGTATTGCACATGGCAAGAAGTTTCCCATAAAATTAATATTAAATTATCTTCAAAGGCTTTTATAAAAGGGAACGTACCACGTGAAAATAAATTTTTTTGAGAAATGCATCATTATGAATATTAATAGATACCCCAATCCTCAATTTCAGCCTACTGCTAGTACTTTATATATTATTTAATTAATATTTAAGTTAATATTTTATTTATCTAGGTTAATGTTATGTATCTAAATGTTTATTCTGATTTATGAGATAATTATTGTAATTTATTAAATTACATATTAACTGTATAATAATTATCACAATACAATTAAAAATAATTTTGATAATGGAATGGCCTTATAAACACAATTAATAATATGCCGAATTTGTTCATGATAAAATCTCCACTCTAAATAAAATACAATACAAGACCACTACAAGAGTTTATCTTATTTATATTCTATTGAAAATATTAAGGGTATAATTTTTAGTTGGAAAGAGTTAAAGCGTGATCAACGGTCAATCGTATAATTAAAGTAAAAAGGCAGTTAATTAAAAATTTCAAAAGGGCTAAACAATTTTACCGTTACATGTGGGAAAAAAATAAAAAAAAGACTTAAAGGGCTCATCGAATAATTGAGGTTAAAGAGCAGTTAATTACGAATTTTAAAAGGTCCTTAACAATTTTACAGTTTCATGGAGGAAACCGTTAAAAAGTCATTAACGGCTCATCGAAAAATTAAAGCTAAAGGCAGTTAATTACGAATTTGGAAAGGGCCATAATAATTTCATTTTATATCGGTTTTAGAATGACCTACTAACACTGTATTCACCCTCATAATCAAACTAAGGAAGAAAAAATAATATATCTGTTTATGTCAATATTGTTTGACATAAAAGATGTATCACGTGATGCTTGCTAATAAACTTACAGGTGTATTATTATATTCATTACCTTCATTAACCAAAGGTTCCCCACAAAAAACCAGAGGAAATGGAATAAAATATTATCATTGTGACTAATAAGACCATAAAAAGGGAAACACCGATAAGTATTAATTATTGTAAGCGATATGTAAATTTTCTCAATAAAACTGTGTGAGGCAAAACACTATATGCTACCAAATTTATCTAAATATTTTTAGTAAACAGCCAAAAGGGAAGGTAGGGTCAATCAATGTGAAATCCTTATTTAGGTGATTCTGATAACTTTATAAAGCTCCTGAAAAATCAAACTTTTTGTCATATCGGGTTTTGCCTTAGTATCACAGAATTTATACGGGGTGGTCCAATTTATATCGTTAGATTTTTAGCAGCTGAGATAGTTTATTGAAAAATAGTACGGGTTTTAAAGTTTTTTATTAATATCTATAAAAGGCATTGATAGAGTTTAATGAAATTTTTTATCTAAAATTTTTGATAGTTCTATCATTACCGCTTATGCTGGAAGTAGATGTCAACTTTCTTATTTTAAATTTAAATTAATCAACTTCATTTTTTTTATTCCAGGTTCCAATGAAACATGAAATTTTAGGATGACTTTGTATAATAAAGTAATTTTTTGTAAAAGTAAACTATTTCTGATTAAAATTAGTTAAAAATGGAAAGGTTTTTAATTGAATTATGATAAAGAAGGTAGTAGTTACCTAGTATATGACATTAAAACATCTTTTATTAAACGGGGTAAGAAAAAACATGTTTAAATTTTGATATAACAGATTATCAATACTTTTAAATGGATAATATAATTTTTTCTACCATCTCTATTCAAAATAGGCTTTTGCACTTGGAATTACAACCGCAAATTTGACGTTTTCCGCGAACTGACATTAAATGACAGCTTTGTCGCTCGCCGAGCAGAAAACTTGACAGCTATGTTGCTTACCTGATTCAAAATAGATATAAAATAATAATATTTCTTTTTAATAAATGATTTTCAAGTCATTTGTATGTAGTTACATGTTTTTTTTGTTGTATTATCCAAGGTAACATGGACTTTGAATATCAACTGCTTTTTTCATGATTAACGTAGATATAGACGCAACACATTATACATTACTTACAACAAATTTTCAGTTTTTATATCTATTTCTTAAAAAAATGTGATCGTAGAAAAAATCTTTTGTGCATTTTGACCGAAAAGTGAAAATAAGGGAAGTTCATGTGTATTTCCCTACATTCATCTAAATCGGTTTTTGATAAAAAAGATACCTAATATTAAAATAAAATAAATGTAATATTTTTAATCAAGTATACCTCTTAAAAGATATACAGAAACGTGAGTAAATTAAAATCGTAAACGCAAAAGTTATAAAAATTGTTTTCCATCCTCCTTTAAACATTTTTCTATCTTCTATCATTTGTACAGTTGGGGCGGTGTCGAATTCAATGCTTAACGTACTCTTTTTTGCTGCCAATATTCTTCAGAGATTAAAGAAGTTTGATAGACCTTTCCTTTAATATAACCCTACATAAATAAATCGAAAGATGTGAGGTCAGGATATCTTGGTGGCCAAAGAAAAAGGGATCGATTGGCTTATCATCGATACAAATATTATTGATTAAAAATTGAAGGACGGGGTTTGAGTATTTTACAGCAAAAGTATCACAAGTTCTTTACGCAACTTTATTACATAATATTACATGTAAAAAGAAAAATTACTAAAAATTTATTTATTTTTGTAGTCTTTTCTTTACACTTTCAGAAAAGACGTTCTGCTATTAAAAAAATATTATTAAACTGTCATCTTTTATTTTAGAGATAAAAGGAGAAAAATGTGAAAAAATGCATTTTTTAAAGAAATTCAAAATGTTCGAAGAACTGGAAAACCGTAAGACTTTGTACTAAGGTATCTTTGGTTTAATTAGGTCTAAATGACCTCCCCTATCACCTTTCCAAGACTTTGCATCGACCTTCCAAACACCCTGTATATGCTGACTGATTAAATTGTAGTTTATCACTTAGTTTACTAGACAAACAATAGAAAAAGGTCGTAGGACATTTTAAATGCACTTTTATGCACTTCTTAGCTCAGTATTTGCTTAAAACATGAAAAAATACAAGTATTTGTTAAAATATGGCGATATCAGTTTAACTTTGAGACTTTTCTTGCTGTAACTTTTATTTGCTTTATAAGTTTATTAATATTGAATTTTTTGTTTCACATCAAACTCTTTAACCGTTAAGGATGCGTGATGGATGCGCAGACGGTACTTTATCGTTCTCCCCTCTCTACTTCTTTGGACGTACCTAACTTCTTTCAGAAATTAGTAGGAGATTCTACCACTAATAATCTAAGTATAATTATTCTTCAAAATATACGAGCGGGGGACTTTTGAGTAGCACTGTATGAAATATTATTATTAAATTTAGATAACCTTCATTAGAGTAATAATATGCCATAATTTCGTTAAAATAGCGGAAATAATTAAATTACGATTGATAAAGCAACAAATTTTTTTTTACGTAAGTTATAACTCTAATTTTTAAGACGCCTACTTGATAGAAAATATTACATTTACAATAATGACCTAATAACTTTCTGCCTCCAATTTTTTTTATAAATTT